ACTTCACTGAAGACATCGGACTCAGCACCCACTACTTCAACTGGCACATAGACTACCCCTTCTGGTGGAATGACACCTTCGGTTCTCATATTGAACGCAAGGGAGAGACCTTTTTCTGGGTCCATCACCAACTCAACAACCGCTTCGATGCTGAGCGCCTTTCCAACCATCTCCACGTTGTTGAGAAACTTCATTGGGATAAGACTCTCCATGAAGGATTCCATCCACACACTTCTTACAAATATGGCCACAGATTCCCAATCCGAGACGATTATGTTCACATCCAGGATGTGGACAACGTTGCTGAGGTGTATGATTTGATGATGATGGACCAACGCATTCGAGATGCCATCGCCCACGGCTACATCACTGACAAGGACGGATCCAAAGTCGATATCATGAACGAACAAGGTATTGACATCCTTGGCAACATTATTGAGTCCTCTATGTACAGCCCCAATGCTGACTACTATGGCTCCCTCAACAACTTGGGTCAAGTTTTGATTGGCCACCAAGGCGACCCACATGACAAGTACCATGAGGCTCCCAGCGTCCTGGAGCATTACGAGACCGCCACCCGCGACCCAGCCTTCTACCAGCTACACAAGTACATCGACGACCTCTTCAGGAAGCACAAGGACCGTCTTCCACCTTATAACAAGGAGGAGCTTGAGTTCCAAGGCGTTGCCATCAACAGCATTAACATTGATGGTACACTGGAGACTTACCTTGAAGACTATGAATACAGCCTCGTCAATGCTGTGGACGACAAAGATGAAGTTGAAAATGTAGATATTAGCACATTTATGCCGCGTCTGATGCACAAAGACTTCTCCTTCAATATTGACATAATGAACAACAATGATGCTGAAGTTTTGGCCACAATCCGCATCTTCGCCTGGCCACTCCGTAACAGTAACGGAGTCATCTTCCCATTCAACGAGGGCCGCTGGCACGCCATTGAGCTCGACAGGTTCTGGAAGACTCGTAAGTATAAAATACGTATAACGAGTAGCTTAGGCCTCCATGCGTATTCTTGAGCACATTTTTTTATACACATAATGATATATTTATTAACGTGTTTATTTACGATGTTTAAATACATTTGTTGTTATATTCCATCAGTGACACCTGGCAACAACCACATCGTCAGGAAATCTGTTGAGTCGTCGGTGACGGTGCCTGACGTGCCCAGCATCAAGACCTTACAAGACATGACTGAGGCAGCCCTCAATGGAGGCACCGAGTTGCACCTTGAGCAGTTCGTGAGCGCCACTGGGCTGCCCAACAGGCTGCTCATACCCAAGGGCAACGAGGCTGGTATGGAGTTCAAGCTTGTGGTGGCTGTGACCGATGGCACAGCTGATGCAGCCATTGATAACCTCGAGACACTCACCAAGTTCCACCACTACGGCTACAAGGGAGTCTACCCAGACAAGAAGCCCCATGGATACCCACTGGACCGTCGCGTCCCTGACGAACGAGTCTTCCACGAGATCCCCAACTTCGCAGAGACCATCGTCAAGGTCTACAACCACGACCAACACATTCAACACCACTAACCATCATTCACCATATTCGCACTATTGATAAAAATGTGATCTCCAAATGACCTTAAACATTTTTGTATCTGGGAACATTAAACATTTCAGCAGCTATACTGAGCTTAATTTTAACCTTTTTATTAAATGCTCCATTCATCTTTTTTAACGTGTTTATAAATCTCCGAAAAGCAAGAAAATATTTTGAATAAATAAATACAAATTTGTACTGCATTCGATTTATTTTTACTGAATATAACAAGAGGTCGTTAAAGATACAAATTATTATGACTACCCGAAATTTATCAAGCCCCTTCGGAAGCAAAAGAAATTAGCATTGATGGAAACTGGGTTTGGTAACAAGGTACACACTAGTTTTAGAAATTGGGTATATGCTGGTTAAGGAACGAAGAAGACTTTATGCGAAGGTTTAAGGATTACAAGAGGATCAATCCATAATTGAAACGCATAAACAAGTAGTTTTAATTGGTGGAAACAACAATGGATAGCTAATAATATATCAATTGATTCATATATTGAACATAAAGCACAAACGAGAGTCCCCCCCCCTCCCATTTCCAGTAATGGATATTAGGATGGACTCTGTGTAGGGTGGGTCGATTTTGGCAGCATTATTATATTTTATTCGCCCATGTGCCTCCAGCAGTCATTAGGTACAGTCTCAGCCATAAGTCCTATTCTGTTTGAATATATAAATGGATTAGTAACACTACTGACTGGGTGTCCAATAATCGTTATGAATTCCATTTTTATATTTCATGGAATATGGACAGAATATAAGAATAATTTTACATTGTATATAAGAATTTAAATTTTATTTATGTAGTAATCAGTATGTTCCATAATACGTCAAGTTTAGTAACATAGAACATATATATTTAGCTTACCAGGGGACGTAAAGCAAAAACAATTTTTGTTGTAAATAATAGTAAATGACGTCATTCTGTCAGGGAATGAGTGTAATGGTTTCAAACATTTTCATTGGTCAAATAGTCACTACGTTCTATTTTATGTTTTATGTTTTATTTGCCCTTGCCATTCGTTTTTGTTTCATTATACATTTATATAGATGTTTACGCACAGATAAATACGCTTTTACACAATTGAATCACATTTTAAATACCAAATAGGTTAATGTTAAGATTAGAGAGACTTGACATATCCAACGTTTATGATATGAAGGAAATATGAACTCAATCGAGAGCATCCGTTGTACAGTACTGCATATTACGAATGTAACAAATTGAGACGAACCACAGTTGTTCCATGAAATATTACTTACATCCAAGCATTGTAACTTTGCTGTCTCACTCTATCATTAAATCTATTACTGGTATTTAGGAGTTTCTTTATAAATTTCTACATTAATTTGTTTTATTGGGCTTCTGTCTAGTAAAATAGAATCACTGTAGTATATTTTGTTTAATATTTCAAGATGAAATTGTTTGTTACACATATTTTAATGTTCTCTATTCAGATTTTGTGAACATACCTTAATAACAGTAATATTAGTATCTTTTGGTAGCAGTCTTTTTTGTAAACATATATTATTGAATATGACTGAAAAGGTAAGATTAATAACTCTAACACGAATTGTCTCAATATTTCTTATGTTTCTCTTCACTGTCGATGGTAATTGAAAAATCAATTCTCAGAAATTCATTTTTATTTCTAGTCTGACGCCTGAACGCGTTCCGTAATAACTTATTACATTTTCAAAGCCTTTAGTTTACACACACACAATTGTAACCTGTAAACACACAAAATACATCCATACTTATACTCGCTTTGGGTGAGGTGATATGGTACAAACGTTTTGGGTGAGGTGATTGACATTTGCACATGATAGAACACCAAACAATGGGTATAAAAACATAAGAATGGAAGTAACTGCAGAAGGCCTATTGGCCCATACTTCCTCTTGATGCTTCTATATTGGTTCGGGGTCTTAAGGTGGGTAGAATATAGTTGTGCATTAAATGGCTGTTGATTGCTGGTGTTGACTTTTTGATGTGTAGTGCCTCGCTGATGTCGAGCCTCCTGCTATCGCTGAATCTATCGATGATTTCTGTGTTGTTTGTTAAGATTTATCTGGTGATGGTCTGATTGTGAGGTCCTCACAATCAGCCGGGACAAGATTTTCATGCAATCCCCCAAAGCACTCTGACTCTGTCATTTTGGCCTAATTGAAAATACGGATTTACTCAATGGCATTGTTTTTTCAAATTCTGTTACTGCTTTTTTGTCTTCATCGACAACACAAAAACTGTAACAAACATTTGTTCTGCTTTAAAGACTATTTTGCAGAAATATTCTTCAAAGGAATTATAATTCAAACATTAACAATATTGAAAACTATTAAAATACTCCTCATGTATACTTGAAGTATATTTTAATAGTAGGGACCGAAGATGTACTGTTGCCTGTTGTATCTGAAGTAACATGATGGCTAACCTTCCTTTTGATGGTTTTGATTATAAAGGCAAGACAACAACATCCCTTTCAAGGCGCCTAACAATGCACCAGCAACAAGGACCTATTAAAGAACATGTACATTCTATTCATAACAAAACCATCAAGAGATATACTCGCAAACAACACAAAAATAATCGACAGATACAGCTACAACAGAAGATTGGACGTCGAAGAAGCATTTTACATTAAGCAAACTAAGCCGAATACCAATAGCCAACCACAACCAAATCACACTCATCCAACTTTCATAACACGACAGAATATTTAACAAGATACAGTGTGTAGTGACAAGATACAATAGACCCATTAGTGTGGTGCTTCTCCTGCACATCATTACATTCACCTCATCACCTTCACCGGATCCCATTCACCTCATCATCTTCACCTTAATCTCTTATCACGTAACAAGATGATATATAATCATTCCTGCTCTGCCTTTTACAATGTTAGCAAGAGTTAACGAAATGCAACTTTTTAGAGTCCGGTCAAATGCAACTGTTAAAATGAACTTTGGAGAGTTAATTTTTCAACTTCTCAAATCAAGGAAAACAGAAATGATTCTTGTTAGAATCATCGATCTCATCCTTTCGGTAACATTCATTAATATATGTAATATGAAGATTATTTTGAGGCAATGGAGTGACATCAATTCAGTTCTGATGATTTGATTCCCAGACCCTTGTCTTAACTCACTCGGTCATGGAGGTACAAAAGTTGACCAAGAACTCGACTGAGCTCTCCGGGAAGTTCTGGAGCCCCCAGAACCTGCATTTCGGGTCGTGTTAATAATTTGTATCTTTAATAAACTCATGTTGCATTTAGTAAAAATAACTCTTATGAAGTACAAATTTTCATTCATTTTATCAAAAATATTGTTTTGCTTTCCAGAGTTTTATTAACCCATTAACAAAAATATGCATGTAGCATTTATAAAAAAAAAAAAAGTTAAAATGAAGCTCAATGTGGCTGCTGAAAATTTTAATGGTCTTACATACAAAAATGTTTTAAAGTCATTTGGAGATCACATTTTTATCAATAGTGCGAATATGGTGAATGATGGTTAGTGGTGTTGGATGTGTTCGTCGTGGTTGTAGACCTTGACGATGGTCTCTGCGAAGTTGGGGATCTCGTGGAAGACTCGTTCGTCAGGGACGCGACGGTCCAGTGGGTATCCATGGGGCTTCTTGTCTGGGTAGACTCCCTTGTAGCCGTAGTGGTGGAACTTGGTGAGTGTCTCGAGGTTATCAATGGCTGCATCAGCTGTGCCATCGGTCACAGCCACCACAAGCTTGAACTCCATACCAGCCTCGTTGCCCTTGGGTATGAGCAGCCTGTTGGGCAGCCCTGTGGCGCTCACGAACTGTTCAAGGTGCAACTCGGTGCCTCCAGTGAGGGCTGCCTCAGTCATGTCTTGTAAGGTCTTGATGCTGGGCACGTCAGGCACCGTCACCGACGACTCAACAGATTTCCTGACGATGTGGTTGTTGCCAGGTGTCACTGGTGGAATATAACAAAAAATACATTTAAATATCGTAAATAAACATGTTAATAAATATATCATTATGTGTATAAAATAATGTGCTCAAGAATCCGAATTGAGGCCTAAGCTACTCGCTATACTTACGGGTCTTCCAGAACCTATCGAGCTCAATGGCGTGCCAGCGGCCCTCGTTGAATGGGAAGATGACTCCGTTACTGTCACGGAGTGGCCAGGCGAAGATGCGGATTGTGGCCAAAACTTCAGCATCATTGTTGTTCATTATGTCAATATTGAAGGAGAAGTCTTTGTGCATCAGACGCGGCATAAAAGTGCTAATGTCTACATTTTCAACTTCATCTTTACTGTCCACAGCATTAATGAGGCTGTATTCATAGTCTTCAAGGTAAGTCTCCAGTGTACCATCAATGTTAATGCTGTTGATGGCAACGCCTTGGAACTCAAGCTCCTCCTTGTTATAAGGTGGAAGACGGTCCTTGTGCTTCCTGAAGAGGTCGTCGATGTACTTGTGTAGCTGGTAGAAGGCTGGGTCGCGGGTGGCGGTCTCGTAATGCTCCAGGACGCTGGGAGCCTCATGGTACTTGTCATGGGGGTCGCCCTGGTGGCCAAGCAAAACTTGACCCAAGTTGTTGAGGGAGCCATAGTAGTCAGCATTGGGGCTGTACATAGAGGACTCAATAATGTTGCCAAGGATGTCAATACCTTGTTCATTCATGATATCGACTTTGGATCCGTCCTTGTCAGTGATGTAGCCGTGGGCGATGGCATCTCGAATGCGTTGGTCCATCATCATCAAATCATACACCTCAGCAACGTTGTCCACATCCTGGATGTGAACATCATCGGGTCGGACCGGGAAGAAGTTGCCATATTTGTACGAATTGTGTGGATGGAATCCTTCATGCAGAGTTCCATCCCAGTGAAGTTTCTCTACAACGCGGAGATGATTAGACAGGCGCTCCGCGTCAAAGCGGTTGTTGAGTTGGTGATGGACCCAGAAAAAGGTCTCTCCCTTGCGTTCAATGTGACGACCGAAGGTGTCATTCCACCAGAAGGGGTAGTCTATGTGCCAGTTTAGGTAGTGGGTGCTGAGCCCGATGTCTTCAGTGAAGTAAGCAACTCGGTATTCGGGGTTGTTCTGGGTGGCTGTAAAGTCCATCGGGAATTTTCCAGGCTTGGTAGTCATCTTGGCTTTGTACGCTTGTTGGAGCACTTCACTGCTTGTGAAAAAGTGAGGCATGATCTCATATATTGGGGGCAGCACAACGTTCCTTGTAAGCGGAGAATGTGCAACAGCTGCGTACATAGCATAAACAAACTCTTCCTCGTTCATTTGTTGACGGAAGTAAGCAGCATAGCTGGTGAATATTGTCCAGTCCTGGCACTGCATGAGGACATTGGCGAGCATCATGGCTTGTTCTCGCTGAGTGCAATTGAACACAGTGAAGAAATGTTCTTTCTCCTCAAGATGGTGATCTTTGAGCTCCTTCAGGAGTTTGAGAACAGCAACTCCGCCGTCAGGGAAGTTAGATGCCTCGGTCTCTGGGTTAAAGGATTCAACAAGATTCTTGAGTTTGGCATCATGCAGAGGCTCGTACACCTTGTACAGTAGGAAGTTGATGTCGTGCTGCTTCTGTGCCAGAGTTACTCCTGAGAAGCATTAATAAAGAACTTAATTATTATTCACAAATTGCGAATTGCCGACAAATTTGACTAAAAATAAATGAGCTTTCTGTAAAATCCTTGATAAAAATTTCACGAATCTTTATATAATTAATTTGTAGTAATGATTTATTTTATCCATAATACAGTGAACCTGGAAATATTTCGATACACTGAAAAATAAATTATACGCTAGATACTACATGATATTCCGAGTCGACTCATTTACCCATGTCTCTTTCCCAGTCTGAAGGATGTAGTGATTATTAATTACAGTCATAAAACAATTATTTAGTATATTAAATGAGTCCTAACACAGAGTTCCCAAAATATGACAGGACAAAAGTCGCTCGGTGGACTGTATTTTCCTAGACTGTCAAAAAGCATTTTACGCAGCAGGTAAAAAAAGTCTTGTGGGCGGTGCCTAGTGAGCTAAACCTCACATCCCCGTAGATATTAATATGTACGAGATGATTGGTAACAACTTCAAATAACTACACAGCAATTTACCATTTCAAAATGACAATAATGCTATTGCCATTATACCCCAGTTTTTCTCTACAATACTAAAGTCACAGCAATAAAGACAGTATTGTAGCAATATATACTCACCATCAGATGAGTCACTCTGGAAGCCGCTGAGATGTTGGCCCCCGAAGAAGGAAGCGGAGGCTGCGGCCACCAGTGTGCACACCACCAAGACCTTCATGGTGCTGATGCTCCTGCAGTTCTCGCACCACCTTATATACCCCCGCTCGCCCTGCCCCCTCTTCAACACCGCCCCGCTCGCCCTCTCCCTCTTCAACACCGCCCCCCACCCCCTGGCTCGTCTTCCACCCCACCCTCTTATCTCCTGGAGGTCATGGCTCTGTCTTACTACCCATTACAGCCCTCCCCCCCCCCCCGCACATTCCTATTCCCCTCCAATCCCACCATGCGATGTTTTCTCTGTTTTGGGAAAACAGGCGTGGCGAGGCTCCTCTTGATAATGTCGTTGACTTCTTCATGTCTTGCAATCTTACCCTGTGATTTACGACATACCAGACCATGACGACCATATTGGTCTGCCATCCCAGTTCCGCAGATGCACCTATGTTCGGTGAGGATGGGGGCGGCAAGGCGAAGGGCAACTCCAATGCGGAGAGCGTCATGATTGAGGCGAGTTCCCAGGGCTGCATTGGGCACAGCAAATAAAAAATCCCCGGCGTAGGGTGCTGTTACCGCTAGAAGGCGGGCTTTGCTTTCAGCATCTGCGTTTTCAAACATTATTGTGACAGTCTTTTCCATTATGGGGCTATCCTAGTGGGCCTGCTTGTGGTCTTTTGGGGCTTGTGGTCAGGGTAGAGGGTGTGCAATGGTTTCCCATTATCTGGCTGCTTCGATGAACGTTTGGTCATGAGTTCCCGCTGTGTCTCTCATACGCTCTGGTAGGATCTTCCCTACTAATTCGTTGGCCACTGTGCATGAGGATAAGAATGCTGGAAGTGCTACCTCAGTTGCCTTTTGTATGCCTATCCCCTCAAATCTCACTGGTAGTGTTGCTTGGTCCCACTGACTGTCATCTAAATCTAGGTTGAGCGCCTTCCTGAATATTGACCTGAGGAGCTCACCATATTGATTTAGAAGTGGGTTGCCAAAAGTGGGTGCACACCTTAAAAAGATGTTAGCCTGGGCAAGGTAAGGCACTTTGTGAGAAGGTAGAGGGCATCGTGGGAGTCCAAGTCCTCTATTCTCGCTTCCATCCTCTTTAGGTCGTTAAATTTCTCGTCAAGGACTGCAGCAATGACATTGTGGCCCAGAGGTGCTCCAAGTAGTGTCTTGTGTGTGCTGTGGTAGTAGTGGACTGTGTGTGTGTATATATATATATATATATATATATATATATATATATATATATATATATATATAGGAAAACTATATATATATATATATATATATATGTAAGCACTAGGAAAATGAAACGTATATTCCAAAACATTTTCGTGTTTCACAATATTATTAAGGAAATACAGACAGATCATCTAAGAGTTTGGGATTATATTCCAAGCTACACCTGCCTAGACAAAGATCTATAAGCTAAAATATCGACTCATGGAGGTGAGATAATTAAGTGGGTATTAACTGGTTGTTCCTTCATTCTTGGAATGTATTACCCTTATTGTTTATATAATATTATATCTATCACAAATCTTACCAATTATAAAGTTATCTAATATATATAATCCTGGACTTACACTAATATACAATTCCCTACGTTTTATAAATGAAGATTCAATAATATTTCTTTTAGTAAATGATTTACAAATCTGTTTGTTCTTCCTGGTGCCTCCGTCCAGCAATCACTGCCTGTCCTTATCGTGCTCGCAGTGTCTTGCACGGTAACACGACAATGTCGTTATCGTAGCTCTTGTTGACCTGTAGTGCTTACCATGCAGGCAGGTGTACCTGGCGGATGTGCTTGGGCTGTTGCTAGGCTGACCAGCTGCGCTCTCTCAACTGATTGTTGCTCTCCTTCTTCTTTACTCTTTCTTCATTTATCGTTGCGGCGTATTCCTTCTTTTTTTATACTTCTTTTAGGTGTTCATTTTCCTTCAATGTTTTTGGTCTTCTGAGAAGGCAATGGGTTCACTTTCGATGTTGGGTCCTTCAAATATCTGCATGGACAGGTGATTGTGGAACTCGTTTGGAACAAGGCAATTCTTTTTTGTATTGTTTTCAAGCAGAGATATTTTCGTTGGTTGTCTGACGCTCGGCTAGTGAATGTGTCAGTGTATTTGTATGCTTTTGATTGGGTGGAAAATTCAATAGAGTTACAGCAGTCTTCAATGTCCTTGTTCGTTATAGGATTGCTTTTTGATCCGTTGTGCATGTTAGTGGTGAACCTTTATGCCTATACGGGTGTAAGAGTGGCTGTACAGAGGGGCGCTTCTGGTGAGGGGGAGCCACGTGTGTGTGTGTGTGTGTGTGTGTGTGTGTGTGTGTGTGTGTGTGTGTGTGTGTGTGTGTGTGTGTGTGTGTGTGTGTGTGCGTGTGTGTTTGAACATTACTCAGGCTGGAAAGTTTTGTCAAAGTTGCCTTGACAGTCATGTATCAGTCACAAGACATTCCCATCCACACTACTTCAGTCATTAATGTTTACATCTTGCAGGTAAACAAGTCCAGAGTTGATTTTTTTATGTTCTTTAGATATTTATAGAAGTGACGCCCCGGCGCACTTGTCCCCAGGTGATAGCGAGTGATATCGCTGTTACCTAGCGACACATCTCATACTACTTGCCCTTCCTTGGTGACCTCTGGAGATAGAGGTGTATGTGCGTGTGTGTTGTGTTCCCTGTAGACTCACTCATGTCTTTATCACCCTCGTGGGTTTCATCCGTCATGTATTTTCCGCATTACATTATCACGTAATTAGAGTGTCCGGCTCTTGTTTATTTTAAAATTATATGTTAAAAAGTCTGCCTGAAAAAAGATACCCAGTTTAAAGAATGAATTATTCTATTTATTTGTTAAATGCCTCATGTAATCTACTGTTCCAGAGACCTATTGGTAAGTCCTTCCAGAGGCACACAATAATTCTTTAGAGTGGTATGATGTGTGACATGCCTCTTATGCTAACGATAAATATTATAACAGACCTAGTGTTCATTATAGTAATTTGTCCTTCGATTCACTATGTTGGTTCCTATCCTCTTTAACATTTTTTTGTCACTTCCTAAGTTCACATGCTTCTTCCAATTGGTTTTTTACCTGGTCCCACAGTTGGTCTTTCTGCTCGTGTCCTGCAGACCTTCTTTACCTTGACGTGTTCCTTCCCAGGACCTGTTTTGGTGTCTTAGTGCTAATTCTACTCAGGCAAGGAAGTTGTCAATAACACGTCATATATATATTTCTAAATGTGAGTCTGTTTATTATACCCTAAGGTCCTTAAGTCCTTGGGGGATGAAGAGAGATATATATATTCTCTCAGACAGGGACATTTTCGTATCTGTTGTCGCCGAAAAATATAAGGGCGCCCTCTGAAGATCGTCGTGAAGGACACCGTGGGTATCACGTGTCTTTACGAAGCCGGCAATTAATATCACTTCAGCCAATCAGGAACACAAATGAATATCACCCTATGTGACGTTAGCGACAACACTTCTCTCAGCGGTTATCGCCGCCTACACCACAACCATCGTTATCCCCCCCCCCCTCCTCAACCTATCACCAGTCTTCTTTCCACATCTTGCTCCATCCTAGAGACACTTGCCTTGCCGTGGCGACCTCTGGAGATAGTTATGGGGGTTTGATTTCCGAGCCGGACACAACTGGTTTGGCACGTTTCCTTTCACCTAATGTGAATGTTCAACTAGCAGTCAATAGGCACCAGGGAGTTAGACAACACCTCCCCATCCTCTCACATCCCTCTCTCTGCGCCCTCACCCACGAAACAGGAAATCTCCCAGATTTATGGAAAAAAACAAACGTAATCCCAGTATTAAAAAACGGGGACAGACACGAAGCAGTGAATTACAGACCAGTACCACTGACAAATATTCAGTGCAAAGTGGTGTCGAGAGTAATCAGATTGAGAATAGTGGAGTACCTGGAGAGGCTTAACTTTGTAGCAGAACAACAGCGTGGATTTAGAAGGGGAAAGTTGTGCCTTAAAAATTGATCCTGTTTTATGACAAGGTTGCTAAAATAGGACAGGAAAAAGAAGAATATGTGGAACGCAGAAGCGACGTCTCCAGCTGGAAGACTGTAAGAAATAGGGTCCTCCATGACTCGGTCCTGGGACCATTACTGGCATTAATGTATCTAACTGCTCTACCCGAGGGAGTGAGCTCGTATGTGTCAATGTTTTAGGAAATGTAAAGCTAATGAGTAATGTAAAAAACAGAGGAAGACTGCATCATTCTTTAGGTAAAGAACGAGCCCGTCCTCACAGCAAATCCATTACCATGAGAAATCACACTCCCTTCAAATCATCTGGATAGTTATCTAGATATCTGTGTTATGAAACTATATTACCATTTCAGTAATAGTCTACATGTAAACTCGTACATGTGCCTTTGTCGTAAACAGAAATTATTTTCGTTATACCGGTATTGTATTATAAATCGTTGCTTTAAAATATAAAAACTTTATGCTGAAAATATTTTCTTTTAAGAATTTGGTTTTGTGTAAACAGAATTCTTGTGTACACTGAAATAGCTTTCGAAATCCATATTTCATATTATCATCAACAATTCCCCAAATTAATGTAACGAAACGGAATGAAACTTAACTAAATTAACCTAAAGTATTGTTAACTTAACCTAACCATGGATCAAGAGTAGATAACAACACTAATTATGTTGTCGTTCCCAATATATTCCCTTGAGTGGGTATCCTCCCTGAAGGACAGTTTGAAAGAATATACCTAACTTGAATGAGACTAAGTAGCACATTGAAATTACGGTAGATGATATAGATATGCATGCTCAATCATAACTTACTCACTCTTTTCGAGTTACATATTTATACAAGTTCAATAGAATTTGTATTGTATGTACAATACAATCGGTGACATAACCAAAAGGGTTCTGTCGACGCCTATTCTGCTCATCAGGTTTTAATTGCTTACGAAAGGATTGTAAATCTCAACTATGTCTTCTATCTAAAGTTACAGTGTCCTTGATTTAGCAGTCGATCCTCTCCGTCAACGAGGAGAAAGGAACTCTGTATTTTATTGAGGTTGATACAGTTACATATAACAAAACTTTAGATCAACTTAACAAGTTTCAT